AATGTCATTATATTAGGATCAATTGCTTTGATTTTTTATTTATTTTTTATATTTTTAAAACATTTATTCTCATTATAGGGTCATACATAACCAAACATCAATATTAGTAATCATTCCAATTCTACCCTACTACCAAATATGCAAAATACTTTCACCAAAACTCATTTCTATGACCAAGTTTTTGATTCTCATGTGCAAACCAAACACACCTATGTACTTTTGTTGATCCAAGGAATGGAATATATATATTATGGAATTGAAACAACTTGAAACACACCCTAAAACAGTTTTAGAAAACATGTCATAAAACTGTTCTTAAATTATAGAAACAACCTTAAAACCTAGAGAAGATTTTAATGTGAGAAAGTGTACAAAATATGGGAACATACTTTAAAATTTTTGTGCATCATATAGAGATGGCCGGGAATGAAGGACCACACATTGTGACTAATCATGTTCGTGTTAGATAGATTAAGTTCCTCATACATTTTTACATAGTTGCATTCTCATATTAAGTTTAGAGAGAGTTGCGGCATCTCATTTACAGTTGATAGGTTGGAATATCACATCTTAAATTAACCAATTGAGCCTTTAATTAAGGAAGTGGGAGTTGGATAAACTAATAATGTTGGTGCATCTCACAGAGTCACAAGATTGCAAATTGCAATTACTAATTCTGAGTCTAATACAACCAAGCTTCCACTGATCACTCCTAATCATTTTAAGGGAAATTTTTTAATTGGAAACAAATAGATAGATAAATGTAAAAAGTCAAAGAAAAAATTTCGTATGGGGGCACCGGCAATTAATTTAAAGACCCCCAAAATTTCTTACTAATGTTTGACTAAATAATCAGCTTTATTGAGTTTAATATGTAAATGTAATTGGGAGAATGGTTAAATAAGCTTTCTAAGTGGAGGAATGAGATAACATGAATCTCTCTTAACTTAATTAAAAGTCTCGAAATCAGGTCTTTTCTGTACGGAGATAAAAAGAAAATGTTGAAGGAAAGTAAGAAAAGTTGAGCAAAAAGAATGGCATGCAAATGCGAGTAGGGTTACTATACGTAATGCATAGTGGTGTATTTCATGTCGTTTTTATCAACTCAATGCCATACAATTTTTTTTTTTATTTTTTTTTTGTGCGGTTCTATGTCGTCACTGCATGTGTATTTTAAAGATTTTTTATTTTAAATGAACGAAATAGATCTATTTTCGTTATAAATTTAGAAGAATAGTCATTTCGTGAAATATAATTTTACGAAATAAAAATAATACCAAATAGGAAAATAGGTTTATTATGTGGAATATTAGTCCATACTTGGCCTATTCGGTAAATTAATGGACAGTTATGCCATTGACATGTGTCCACCTTTAAAATACACAATTTATATTTTATATACTGAATGTTCACAATTTACATACCGAATGTTCACAATTCAAATTATGAACATTCAGTATGTAAATTGTGAACATTTAGTATATAAAATTGTGAACATTCAATATGTAAATTATGAACATATAGTATATAAAATTGTGAAATTCAGTACATAAATTGTATATTTTTGGATTCGAATACACACAATAATTTCGCATGTAGGCGTCTTAATAAAAGGAAGGAAATACAAATAAAATTAAAAAGAAAAAAAAAAAAAGGAAGATAGATAAAATGAAAAAGAAAATTAAAGGAAGAGAGGAAAGATGCGGCTAAGAAGTGACTACTTTTTTTTTTTTTAAAAAAAACAAAACAAAAAAACAAAAGTTTCAATGACATATACATTTATATCATTTATTTATACATTAAAAAGAAATAATAACATAATTTTACCCAAAAAGAAAAAGAAAAAAATAATTGAAAGATTTCTAAAATTTTGAACATAATTTTACTTTAAACTTTATTCAGAATATAAGGAACATTATACGACAATTCTAAAAAAGAATTATGTTACGATTTTTCATTAAGTAGTGGGATTATTATGATTGTTATTAATATTATTTGCATAAGGCACCCCACTCACAATTGTGAAATTTATCCAAATTCGGCTCTCGTATAATCTCTATAAAGCTTGACTCATATAACAATCAAACTGCATAAACAATAGTCATGTCATACCCACAATCAATAATTGAAATATGTACTATGTTTGGAGATGTTTCAAACACCTAACAAACCCAACAATAAAAATCCAACTTCCCAAGTCATCCAATTACATTGTAGACCATCGATAAATGTTCAGTTTTAGTATACAAAAGATTATTTTTTAGATATTATACTAAAAATTAGCTTGTAATACAATAGAATGAACATTCATTATATTAAAAATAAACATATGTATCAATGATCAACCTTACAATGTGAATTTGATATACACAGTAGCTCATAGCCGCTATTCGATGTACTATGCTAGCAAAAGACCAACAAGAGATTAACTAGCCTAGGTTGTTCATAGTTGATCGACTCAAACTGAGAAGGTCAATAGACCGCTACCGGGAATAGTTAAACTTAGAAACTTTGTGGTTACCAAGCCAACAACGTAATCTAACCAACTCGGCAAAAGTTGCCCCTTACTATTAGTTTCTTAAATGGTCATTGCAATTCCACTTGTCAATCGCTGTCTAACTTTAACCCTCTTATACTATTTTCCCAAATCCCAACTCAAACAAAGACTATAATAAATGGTGGAAAACTCAACAGTCAATTAGTCTTGTTTTAAAATAATACCATACCAGAAAATATCATAGTTTTTCCATGGAAAATGTAACTTAGTAAAAGTTAAGAGAATGAAAGCATATATATATACAGTACACACTACACAGTAACAGTACAAAATGGAAGACTGTGCCCATCCAATATTTCTCAGTCCAAAACACCATACCATCATCATCATCATGCATGGCATCATCTTCTTCCAGTTTCTTGACCGCACATAAATTGACAGAACATCATTTATTGGTATCACCGAAAAACAAACAATTTTCCAGATTCCCTTGCCCACGCCATCCGGGTCTCATATCTCAACCCGACAAAATATAGATAAATAAATCATAATGGCTTAACGATTCATCAGATAAAAAGATTAACGTCTAATATTTACAAGGAACCCACTATATTAGCGAAACTTTTTTGCTACTGTCAGAGTTCAATTTTATATTTTTGTCCACATATTAACACTCAAGAATCAATTGAGCTGTCTATGCGAACAATTTTTGAGATTCCCTTGGGCTTGGGGATACTGTGTACAATGTATTATGTATCTGTACACATAATGGTTCATGAATCGCAATCCCTTCAGGCAGCAACAGTGGTCCACATCAACCATCCACATTTCTTTTCATCTTTATATCGCATGCACCCATCACCCAAACCCTTCATAGACGTCGCCCACTATATTCTTCATGCACTCAATGCCTCTTATTGGCTAATGTTTTTTCAATGCACAAATTTCCCTTTTTGCATAATTAACATTAGTGTTTTTTTGGGCGATGTTTGAAGAGTCAATTTTTATCATACGTCTCTTTGGTGCACAAATGACATTAAAATTAGTGTACATGTTATTTGAACGGTGATGGGATGGGCATACACTTAGCCGGACTAGGTAAGGGAGGATAGGCGGAGTCAACGGGTAGATTGAGTGCGAAAGGTATGGTACCAGGGTGAGCACTGTCTAGTCGGTCAAGCGGGCACTGTCTAGTCGGTCAATCGGGCGCGGGCAGCCAGGCAGACATAGACATGGAAGCAGGCAATCATGCTTGACAAAGACAGGCGGGAGGGAGGACGATCGAGGGAGCCATCCGGGTACCGAGTGAGACCTATAAGCAGTCAGCTGAGCGGCCGAGGAATGGGGCCGTGCGGACAGACATGTGGAGAGTCGTCTGGGCAGAGTGGGTATGCCAGGGAGCTAGGCAAGAGCAGGAGATCGAGTCTCAAAGGAGTCGTACCCGAATAGAATAGCCGGGCGAGCGGACGACTAAACGGATTGGTTGGTCAAAACATAAGATTTGCCGACTCCGGTAAGAACTAGGGAAAATGTTTAGATGCTAGCCGTATCCCCAAGAGATTTGGGGCAGATCATGTGACGGGTGGAGGAAAAATCTGGAAGCCATCAGGGTAGAAAATCAAATGTATTTATGGCAGTTTAGGGTTACCTAAATTAGGTCCTTGTTCTCTTCTATAAATAGGCCTAGAGCACTCTGAAAAAGGGTTCAGCTTTTTGCGCATACACGGGCAATAAAAGTACTTTTCCGGCAACCTCATTTCTTAATATTTTGGTAGTGTTAGCCCGCCGTTTGACTACTCCGATGGTCGATAAAACTAACAAACAGTATTGAAATATATTTTTAAGTATTCCCTTTGTTTAATTTTTTTGTGTCTAATTCAATTAACACTAGTTAGTGCCCTGCTAAGAGCTAGGATCGACTTTTATCTACAACTTTTTGGTGCACAGACATTAAAACTAGTATACATGTTATTTGAGCACAACATAAAGCAACACTTACCTCCATCTGTTGTGCGCCCAAGGAGCTCAACCCACACCCCAACTCTAATGATGTTTGACCACGCACCCCGCCACTTGCCATGGCTTAAAACCAGGTGATCAACCACCATGCTAATCTCAAACTAGAGATGTGTAACAAACTAAAGAAAGACTTTTTTCTTATTATTTTTTGGACAGATTTTCTCTGTTGCTAACTAATACAATCATATAGATTTGGCTTTCCAACCGCCAAAGGTTGAGCCGTTGCAAACTCCATTTTACCCCTTTCAAAAGTCATAATAATTTAAATTGAATTATTCCTTCTTTATTTTAAATTTTAAATTTTAAATTCAAATTCAATCCGTAATTAGTACAAATGTATTAAATACACTGTAATATTTTTCTTAAATAAACTATTATTATAACATTTATGTTTAATTTTTTTATAAAATTGTTTAAATATAATTAATTTACAGAGTGTATTTTTTTAAGAAAAAAAAAATTACTGCATCGTAAAAATATGAAATAAAAAAATGAAAAGGTAGGAATAAAGTAGAGAAAGAAATTGTTTAAAGGGAAAGTACATTAAAAGCCTCTCCTCAGTCCTCATACGTTACACTAACACTCGAAAACCTACCGCACCAACCAGCGGTCTGCCGGTCTACCCCTAAAAAATGTACACTGAACCGGTTCTTAATCGACCCGATCTAACCTCTCAACAATTCGACTCCGGTTTTTTGTCGTCTCGCTATCCCTAAAATTTCCGGGTTTTTTTTCTTCTTTCTTTTTGCGTTTTACGCTATTTCTGACAACTACTAGTCTACTACTAAGCCTAAAGGGTTTTTTTTTTTTGAAACAAACTAAGCCTAAAGGGTTAACCTTAATTTTTTCAAAAACTCTGGACCGGCGGAGCGAATCCCGGCGAGTCTTCCGATTCTTTCTTCCGCCGCATCTCGAGGACTTTCCGGTGGTTGTTGGAGTGGAGCTGGCTGGAGAAGGTGGGGCTGCAGGCGGGGCGGTACTCCGGGAGGAGGCGGCCGGACTTGAACCGGACTCCACAGGCGTTGCAGAGCGTCTTGGCTCCGAGCGGCCCGGCCCGCCACTGTGGGGTCTTCTGGACGCCGCAATGGCTGCACCGCCTTGGCTGCTGTTGACCGCCGCCGCCGCCGCCGGTGTGCGTCGCTTTCTTTTTCTGTTTCTTCGCCGGCGGTAGCCCTATCAACGACTCGGCTGTCTGATTGGGGTGCGGGAAAAATGGGTGTGGAGGAGACGACGACATAGTCGTCGTCGACGACGACGACGAGGTGGACGACTCGGTCAGCGACGGCGAACCGCTCAGCCAAACTCGAACGCCGGTTCTCGCGCGCTTGCTTCTCGCCTTGGTCTGGACCGGGGTGGTAAAGCTGGGATTGTCTCGGACCGGAATTTCGGCCTGAACCCGGTTCTTGTTTTCCGGAAGCGGCGGCAGCTTTCCGGCGGGGTATGTTAGAGAGTAGCCGGAAAAGGAGTCTTCTTCCACGAAATGCGACAGCCATTCAAGGCTATCCAAATCATCCGCCTGTAAACACACCTCTTAAAAATCTCTTCATTTCACAACAAATTTGAAAACCCCAAAAGTATAACTCACCGGAGCATTGAGCCCGCCGCCGGGAAAACAAGAAAAATCTTCTTCAATACAAAAATTAACGCCCACCGCTTCTTCTTGCCGCTTTTCCGGCATAACAGAGACAAACACCAAAGACCCAGAATTTCCTCCACCCTTCTCCTCCGGCACCTCTGTTTTCTCCTTCTCCTCGTACTCCTCGGAAAACCCATTCGACAAGTCGAGGAGGTCGTCAACGAAGAAATCGTCGCCGCCGCCCCCTTGACAGCTCCCCACCGCCGGCAACTCATTTTCCAAACACCCCAGCGGGTGGGCCGTCTTCGCCGCCATCTCCGGCCTAACAGAGCTCTTCAACGCGCACTCCATTCCCTGCCCACACGAAAAAATTCACCAAAATGCAAACAGAACCCAAAAATCGGTTGCGGAAAGAAGCAAAATGGGAGGGCGTACCTGAACAGACACGGCGGAGGACGGCGGCGGAGTTAGGGATAGGGCGGAGGAGGAGAAGGTAAAAGGGTTGAGAAAAGAGTGGTGTTGAGTTCGGTAAAGCATTGAATGAGAGATAGATAGATAGAGAGACTCCCGTGCCCAAATAATACTTTCTGTACCGTATAAAAACAAGTGCCAAATTTTTCTTTTTATTTTTTATTTTTTCAAATTTATTTGAATAATCCACCCTCTAGGTATGTGCATTAATTACAGTGCCAATTCTCTTATTTTGTGTAAGTCAGAATTACGTTAGATTTTCTCTGATTATTATATATATTTTAGATTTAATTTCACCAGAGTTCTCTTGTCTTTAATGATATTTTAAATTTAATCATAGATTATCGTTTTTGTCTTTTAACATCCCAGATTATTAACTTTAAGATATTTTTAGTCATTTACTTTTATTTCATATTTTTAGTAAAGGTATTTTTGTCGCTTCATAATTCTCTTTTGTTATTTTTCGATTTCAACCGGTTTAGAACTTTACTAAAAATCGGTTGAAAAATATGGTTACTGAAAAATCAAAGGTTACCTAAAGTTCTAAACCAATTAAACAGATTGAAATCGAAAAAATAACAAAAGAAAAATACGAAAAGATAAAAATGCACTTACTAAAAATGAGTTAATACCCAATATAATCCTCGACTATAGTGATTTTACTTAATTTAGTCCTAAATGACTTTTTGTGCTCAATTTAGTCCTCGACTTTGATAGTTTTACACAATTTAGTCCTTTGTTAAAAATTTTGTTAGTTGACTGTTATAAATAGGGTTCTAATGGTAATTTATCAGCCTTCATTCCATTTGGGATTATTCCTTCTTTTACCCCTTATTAAGCTCCAAGCAGAAATGAAGATCTTCATTCCCAAATCAACTTTAACTTTAAATAAATAAATACGGGGAAGAAGAAAGAATCATTTGCATTTCTATGTGGATCTTAATAAGGAAAAGAAGAAGGAATCATCCCAAATGGAATGAAGGATGATAAATTACCATTATGACCATATTTATAACAGTCAACTAACATAATTTTTAACAAATGACTAAATTGTGTAAAATCATCAAAGTCGATGACTAAATTGAGAACAAAAAGTCATTTAAGACTAAATTGAGTAAAATCACACTATAGTTGGGGACTATATTGGGTATCAATTCTACTAAAAATAGAAAAAGTTATAAGAATGACTAAAAGTGTCAACAAAATAATAGTCTAGGATGTTAAATGGCAAAGACGATAAACTGATACTAAATTTGGAATTACTACCAAAGACAATGAACCTCTAGTAAAATTAAATCTTTATTTTACTTCAACCTAAAACTCAACTGAATTAGCCTCATATTACTAATGTAGACATTAGAGAAATATGTAAATAATATGACAATTGTTACAATCCAAACAAAATATGAGCATGATTTGTTATACTTCGATCATCTATGTTGACTATTAATTACTTAAATAGTATTATTTCAAACGGAATTTGTCCCGTCCAATAGGCGCTAATTAAGCATTTTTTTTTCCATTCCAATATTGGTTAGTCAAGTACACCATTTTTTGAAATTTCTACTCAAATTGTTGCAAGTTTGTGAAAAGATTTTACACTTTGCACCCCATATTTTCTTAAGAAAATTATGTATGACACTTTGCACCCTATATTTTCCACTCAACTCACCCTGTTGGCACATACAGTGCACACACCCATTAAGTGTTACTGGTGCACGAGGCGCGCATCAGCGGTACTTTTTATTGTTATTAATTTTTTTGCGAGACTCACTAAATTAGAAAAAAATTTAAAACATTGTGGGTCCGTTTACTAACTGAAAAATTTATTGATAGAAAATAGAAAATATGTTTACTAGCATAGTTTTCCTTTTGAATACTGAAAACATTTTTCTTTTCTGCAGTAACAAGTAAAATTTGAGGATATGTGTAATATTACTCATTTTATTACATGTTATTGTATTTATTTATTTTTCGTTTTGCATAACATCATCTTATATCTTAACTACTATAAGATTAATATATATTTGACTCAAATTGCACTTGTAATATTTGACTCTTACCTAAAAAAGGTATGGCTTATGCTCTTCAATAAGAGGTACACTTGGGATTTGAAATTATGATATAAATGCATATACAATGGCATGGTCAATTGGTCATGTGTATGAATTTATTATTGGCAATTAGATTTTTGTAATTTTGAAAAAGAAGATTTATGCAAATTTGATTTAGATTGCTTTAATGTAATTTATTTATATTATTATTTTTAAACTGTAATTAATATTTGGGATTTTATGTTACTACAATGTAATCAGGATAAAATTATAAGACCATAAAGAGAACAACACACATATTTCATAGAAGTCACATGTTTCATGAGGTAATGTCAAAATTTTGAATTTTTCACATAGAAGAAATGTTAAATATAATTTCACACCTCCTATAGTCCTATGCCATTTAAAAAGTCTAGCAAAAATTGTTAGCTTTAACTTTCTAATAAAGATAAAAAAAAAATTGTTGATGTGAATATTATTGACCATCTATTTTTTTACAAGTAATAATTTTTATAGGAAGTGGTGATTCTGATGATTTTGATCATCGACTTATTAACATAAACTTTAATAACTTGTTTGGTTCAAAAAATGAGAGATTTTTTTCTCAAATTTAGATAAAACATATTTTATATTGTTCGGTTGAGATAAAATATATACCATGAATTCTTATATTACCCATACATATGTTCATTCATGTAGGGACATTTGTATCTTTATATTAACCATTTCAGCAACTTATTTATCACAAATTAAACAATGCAAATCAATATTCCAATTTTTTTATTGAATTTAAATTCAATTATTCTTCACGAACCAACTAGCCTGTAATAGTTTATAATTATAAATTACAATTTGGTTCCTATATATGATGACTTACATGCTTTGTCTATGCAATTAAAATTTGAAAGAATTTAACGATCTCCATTGATAAGGTATCAAAATCATTACCTATAAATAAGTAGATGGTCAATAATGCTCCCGTCAACCATTGAAATGCTGAAATCATTATTTCATATAAATATAATGACAAAAGTCATTATTTTCTCAAGGAAATATATGAGTAATTTTGAAAGAAATTTTTTTCTTTTTTTCTCTATCTTGTTAACCACATAATACGGTCAAAATATTTATGTTCTATTTATTTTTGTAATTTTCTGTGACCAGAAAAATTCACAACTATTACCTAATGATGTGTACAGAGTAAATTCTACTTTTGTGTAATAAAAAACGTAAATCATACTAAAAAGATGATACACTTTTATTATACAGTAATTATGTTTCGCCTACTTGTTTGCTGCTCTCGCCACATTTTGTGATTTTTAATGATATAAATAAATATATAGGTATAGGTATGTGAATGTGGTCCGAGCGAGTAAAGGGCAAAAGGCCTAACTTAATTTGAAAAAAACGAAAGCGCCAAAATGGGTTATAGGAAAGATAGAAAGTTTACTTGAATTGGGAGATTGGCCCCATCCTTTTTGACTAATTACGTGACCTATCTGCCGCTTTGCTCGCCGCTCTCAATGCTTCCAATTCTTTCCCGCTCTGCCTTTTCTATTTTCCCACGGAATCACCTAACGTCCTTCCTAAAAAGACATTTATTCCTTTTTTTTTTTTTTTGGAGATTTTAACAATTTAAATCTTTTTTTTTTTGTCGTGTCGGTATGGCGATGAGAAAGGATTTTGAAATTATGATAAGATTTTGAATTGTTTCAATTAATTAATGTGGTGTTACGTTTGCGAAATAGACGGGTAAAAGAATTATAACATTTGGTTATGTGTTATTATGTTGATTTTAAAATTTATTGTTACTTGTATTATTATTTGAATTTGAATTTGAAATAACTACATTAATTATATAACTAACGTATTTAAATAAAACTTGTAAATAAAATAACATGTCGTATTTGTCGAAAATCTCAACCAAAAACTTATTCATTTGAAAACGATTATTTATGTAAGAACTATATTTATTTTATATCTAATTTCTCATCTTTATATGTGGAGTCAAATTAATTATAATTGAGGTTTAAATGAATATATACACAAATTTTATTAAATATAAAACTTGACCAATAAATTTGAACATAATAAAATTTTTTCCATACTTCATTATGCTTTAATATGTGTAGAGATAGAGATATAGCTATAATAATAAAATATAATTTATAAAATATAAATACACATAATAACTTCAAAAATATATGTATAAATACATCTACCCACACCATTAATGCATTCATACTTGCTAATCTTGTTTATATCAAAATGAATTTATACTTTGGAAGAAAAATTTTATGGCTAGATTCTGCTTTATTATATATAAAGAAAATAAAAATAAAGATAAAAATAGAGATAGAAATATTATTCATAAAAAATTATTACATTTTAACTAAAAAAAAAGTATTACACATCAAACAATCTCACACATAATAGTCAAAGATCAAAATCGCATTTGTTCCCTACCATTTTTATGCTGTTGACTTGATTCCGATAATTATGAATTAAAATTACATTTGGTGATATTGTGATATGTCCATTTACCAAATCCACCTTTCCTTCGAGGAATTTTATGATGCGCACTTGCAATTTGTAACAATTTATTTATTATATTTAAGGAATTTTTATGTTGCTTGTTTTTCATTACTACTTTATTCGAGTTACTTAAACAAATGTAAAACCATTTTAAAGAAACACTTATGAAGCAACTATAGGAAGCAAAAAATCTTACACATTCTCGAAAGGAGTGACCGAGTAGGTAAAATATAATTATTATACTTTAAAGATCACGAGTTCAGTTTATGTCAACACACTATTAGTCAAACTCGTCACACATAATCTTCCTAATGCAGTTTACCTCTTCAATGTAGCTTCCGGGTTATTATACAACAGTGGAGTGCACACCATTTTGTAGTAGTTGCGAGTTGCCATTGATATCCTAAATAAATATAGTATATGCAAAGTTGGTATTTACCCCTTTTTTCGGGATTAGATAGGGAAGCATATGAACAAAACTTCAACTACTAGACAAAAAACCATTCGTATGCCTTGCAACTCGAAACATGTTATTT